CACTTTGAGAGCACAGCTTATCATTAGGCCATAGGGGCTATATTTAACATTTTCAGGAAACTTGATTGGTTTCATGAAAATTTAAAAGAGATTCAAGTATCTTTTAATAAAATACCAGGCCAGAAATGGGTGTACAGGGTTATGTGAGTCTGGAAGCAAATAATTTTATTTCAGTATTGTATAAAGTTAATCACAACAATAGGAAATTAACAGAAAAAAACAAGGATGTGGACCTATCATTGATATTTTGGAGAGAGGGCGTGTCCCTGTGTGGATGAAAACATGGTATGTAGATGTATGTGCACACTGCATGCATAATTCCAAAGCCAAATAAGACTATTTTCACATTACTTGCTATTTAAAATCATGAATGCCATTACTTCCCTTCATTATTCTGCCTAATTGCAAGTTGGCGGTACTAGGAAATGGACTATAGTTAATTTAACAGTCAACTAGTGACCAAACTGAAGTTGCAAAGGGCAGATTTTTGGCATTAATTAGAGACTTTTGTTTGGCTTTTAGATTCTTATCTATTTGACCTTGCGTCTTCTATAATCTGGCTGGAGGTTTTCTGGGTCACAAGGGCTTTGGAGCCCCAGGACTTTAGAACTCTGCAATTGCCTGGTTTTGCTGAAAGATGAACTAGCAGTAGGATGATAATGTGAAGAATTCCCATCTTTGCCCTCAGGTTTTCTCAGACAGACCCTGGGTAGAAAGGAAAGGTCTCATTTATTTCTATCACCCTTACAAAACATCTCTCAGTTTAAACTCTTTCATAGGAGACACAGTCAGAATTTGAACACATTCTCTGAGTGTAGAGGTCCCATGTTTACCCCCTACACTCTCTTCCTGAATGAATAACTGATGCTGGTTTAACGACATGTGCTAGGCGCTTGCTAAGAGGTCATGCACTGATGTTTTTCAACTCTTGTAACTATTTTGGATTTAGAATGTATTGTTGTACAAATAAACCCCCCCCCCAAAAAAAAAAAAAGTAATGACCCAAGCAGAGTAGAAGTCTAGCAAAAACATGCCTCCGTTCCATATAGTCATCCAGGGATTCAGGTTAGCAGTGTGATTCCTCAACACATGACTTCTATGATTGTTGTGATTCCCATTTGTAGGCAGGGGGAAAGGGAAAGAGGATATGGGGAGTGGATCTCCAGTATCCAGATGTCCTGTTCTAGAAGTTATACACCCAATTTCCAGTCATGTTTCCTTACAGATAGTTTAGTCATTGTTGCATCTGGCTATGTGCAAGACAAGGAAATACAGTCTAGCAGAGCAGCCATGAGCTCAGTTATTATTCTATTACTGTAGAAAAGGGGGAAATTTTCAGCAATGTTAAAGGTATTTTATTTTCAGTTGTTCAGATTCCCATGAAATCTTAAACTCATCAGGTCTCTGGGCAACTTGCAGTCTCTACCTGTTATCATCTATATTTTTCTAATGAGGCAAGTTCGATTTAGCAAGTTCAAATAACTAGTGCAAGTGTCATGTACTCAGTAAGCAGAGGCAATGAGATTCAAACCCAAGTGATTTGAGGCTAAAAGTTGAGCATTTAAATACCATTTATACTGACTCACTGAATAATTAGTTCATTGGCAGTCGTTTTTCTCTAAATGGATATCTGCTGTGGGATTCTACTTAACTCTGCTGGAAGAGTGGGGTAATTAGGAATTTTCTATGCTGGGAACAGTGGAGATGAGTCCTGGAGTTCTGTATTGTCTGAGTTCAGGAGGCTACAAGCCACAGGGATTATCATGCCCTTGGAAGTGAGGTTTCTGTGGTACAGGTAAAAACCCCAGGATTTTCATGGCTATAGGATATTAAATGACAAAAGAAGGTATTATTCTAAGTCATCTCTAATTAGGTGCTTTGGTTTAACAAACCCTGTCAAGGATATTTTGAGACAAAGCTTTAAAAAAAATCTTACCTCTTTAAGTAAAACTTCCCATTAATTCTTTGATGAAAGGTGTTCTGAGCATGTGGGACCATGGTCCATTGGCTCAACTATGTAACCCATAATATGACATGCAAATAGGTATTTTACCTGCATTTCTATTCAAAGACATTGGGCAGGGTAGGAGTTTGGCATTATAGACCAAGAATCAGGAAAAAATTTTATGAAAGGTCACTGTTAACTTTATTTAATTAAATGAATGCTATTAATTAATTTTGTAGCCTCAAAAGTGAGTGCTAATTTTTATAATCCAATATGCACATGATCATACTCATCAACCCCATTCATTCTAGCAGGGGCTGCTCTTCTCAATATATCTCAGAGATCTGGAACATTTCTCAGTGTGAACACTTATGCAAACTATTAATTCCATCTGTAAAATGGGGACGTGGATGCTTTTTACTTACTGATTTTGTTGTGAAAATTAAATGAGATAGTTCATGTAATAACATTAGCACCTAGGAAGTAGTGAATAAAAAATATTCAGGATTATGACAACTGTGCATAATTCATCTTAATGGCTGATAGAGGTGAGAGCATGGATAACTAAGTCTGTCAGATTATGAAAGTACAGTGCTGTTGGGTATGGGCTTATCCACACTTAACACATTCATTCATAGTGTGAATCCAGAACTTTGATAGAGCTGGCTCTCAAAATCTTGTGAACTAAAGATTCAGTTAAAGTTCTTCTAATTCTTCCTAGGCAAAAGTAACCAGTCTCCTCCCCCCAAGACTTTTGCTCTTTATTCATATGTATATCTTTGTACTTCTCTGCTGTGTCACAGGTATCTGCCAGTTCAGACTATTTGGAAACTCAGTCGGTGACCGTGCGACATGTGGAATCCTCCAGGTTAGGGACTGTATTTTCTGGCTCCTGGCATGGTGCCTGAAATAAAGCAGGATCTCCATAAACATTTCTTTAACAAGGGGCTGAATAGCCTGATGAAGGTTTCTGGAACATTAGGAGTCTGGAAATACCCTGTGTTGTGTTTTTTCTGGTTTGTTGGTAATCAAGCCATTTCACACTCAGTTTCTTCATTTAAGAAACATCCCTTCCAGTGTGCTTCCCTTACAGAGATGCTGTGATAATTAATGAGACTCCTTGGAAAGGAACGATATTCTCTATCCCTTTGAAGTTTGGTTTTACAAGACGATCTTTAAATACGAGGCTGTAAAAATCCTGTTCTCCTTCCTGCCTCTTTCTTCTGCAAACCCAAAGGTCCAGGAGAGATTATCGGCCTCTGAAACTCCCATTTGCTAAATGCCAGTGTCCCCTGTAGTATAACCTGCAGTGCACTCAGCCTGGTCAATCCAAGCCCTTAGGGCTGCCCTTTTCACAAGTCCATTTGTGAGCATTCAGACTAGTGGAGAGCCGTCAGCAAACAGACCAGGAAAAGCAGTGGGTGTTCACAGAGGCACATTAGCATCTGCATTCTTTTCAAAGTTACCCGCCTCTTCACTAAAGAACCACTCATGAAGGCTTGCCAGGGGAGCTAGGAGTTGGTCTTCCACAGTGGCCTAGTATGTATGCAGACAGGTGAGTTATTACATCATAGCAGAGTGCCATAAGTCAGATAGAAAGCGGTGTGTGTGTGTGGGCATGACAGGTCAAGAGGTAGCTCAAGGATAAGATGAACAATGGGGTACAGTTGAGAGGATGGGAAACTGTGTCAGACATGGAGACAGTACCTGGGCCATGGGTGAGGGATGAAGAGGATGCATTAGCTTTGTAAACTTGGATTTAACCTCACTGAGCTTCCATTTTCTCATCTGTAAAATGGATACAAGAATTTATTCTAGGAATCTTCCATTTCTTCATCTGTAAATAGGTATAACATAATGACATGGAGGTTAATGAAACAGATAAGTCAAACTATCTTCTAAATTATAAAAGGCTTTGTAAGTATCCATTGTTATTTGTATCTCTTAATTGTTTTCCATAAGCTAAGCAGGGAAGACACAGTGTTTAAGAGCAGCAAAGACTGAGTTGACTTTGGTGTTACCAACATTATGATCTTAGCTTGTCTTTGTTTTGAAGAGTCCTTTACGAGGTGAGGATAGGGTGTTGTAGTGGGGAGTGGAAAGAAGGCAGGGAAGTCTTTGCATGCTGACAGCAACTATCAGTTTGCAAGAGTCCCAATGGAAATGCAAAACAGAGATTTAGGTTTTAGGAAACTTCTAGTATCCATAACCTAATTTGGAGAGGAGCAAGATCTTTTCCTATAGGCTTGCAAGGGCATTCCCTTGCCTAAGTCAAACTTCCATAAACCGTTCATCTCTGAAATGATCATAAATTCAGGAATGTTACTCATCCTTACTCTGTAATTTCCTGATCACTTTATCTTCAAATATTCCCTCAATTCTAGCCCCCTTTTGCCTTGACTTTCTCCATTATCCATTAATCATTCTTATGTCCACAGTCTCACTGCTCTGCCCTTTGTTTTTTCAAAGAACTTGCTCTTCAACACCCAGCCTGAATCCGCCTAGGCTAAAACTCAATCTTTTAAGGGTCTTTAGAAAAAGTCATGCAAAATGTGAGAATAGCACTGCTCCAAATTCTGGGTTTACAACTTTAACTGCTACCTGATGTTCTTCTCTAATGGGACAATATTTAAAACTATCCCTGGATGTGTTTTTCCTTCTAAGTATGCCTGCTGATTCTCTCTGAAGCCAAGGGCATCTCTTTGTGCAAGTGGAAGACAGTAGTAATTGGCCAATAACAAAGGAGTCATTATTGAGCTTTGGTCTTCCAAAATGGGCTCCTGAAACTCATTTCAGGAAAATAGATGTGAAAGTCCACTTTTTTACTTGCAAGATCCAGTCTTTGTTGAGAGAAGAAATTATTTGTGAATTCTAAGGAAACAAAATAGAGAACAAGAGCATTGTTTATAGAGATAACCATAGAGTGAGGGGGATAGGTGATGTACTATGTTGTGTGGTGGTTTCCTGTCAAACCAGAGGGCAAGACAAAGCAAAACAAATGAAACAGAAACTTCCTGGGCTTAGGGAGTGGGGGCAGGGGTGGGGCACGGGGGAGGATGGAGGATGGAGATCTCCTGGGGACATCTGGTAACCCTGGGGCTGAATTTGTATAGTTCTTCTCAACTGGGACTCTGAAAGAGGACTGTTCCTTCGTATGAGGCAGGGAGTGATGGCAGTCATGAAAATGCCACAGGTAGGTAGAGGAAAGCCCTGCCATAGACTGGGTCCTTCCTATTCCCTCCACAGGGCATGCAAAATGTTGAGATGCCCTCGCTGGGAAGATGAAGTACAGAGGGATCATGGAGCTGAGATGTGAAGGACACTCTTCCAACAACTCCTGCCTCCCTGTGGGGACTCTTCCTCTTTCTGTTCCTCCAATACTGATGCTTTCTCCAAGCCACCTTCTCCTGGCCTTACACCGAATTCATATCTTACACAGATCATGCTCAGGTTTGTATCTCTGGGTCTAAAGAACAGATCCTGTTTCTTAGTCTTACTTCTGGAGACTGGCTCATAATTGAATCTCAGAATATGTTTCTCAGTAGAACAATCTATCTTTTGTGCCTCTGCACTGAGTTGAAATTTTGCAGCATCTTTGCCACTGAAAGATAATATAGTGTCAAGTGGAGCATGGTGAGCACATCTGTGATCTCAGCCACTTGGGAGGCTGAGGCAGGAAAATTGTAGATTCAAGGATAGCCTGGGCAACTTTGACCCCGACTCAAAAAAAAAAAAAATGTGTGTGTGTGTGTGTGTGTGTGTGTGATCTTTCTGTTCAGCAAATGTTGTAAGATACTTCTTACTGGAATCTTAGTGATTTTGTTTGAATATTGTTGACCCATAGAATATTGTTTCAAGGGTACCAGAGGGAGGGAAGAGGGAAAGGGAAGGGGAGATACTGCGGAATGAAATTGACCAAATTATGTTGTATTCACGTACAAATATGTAAGGATGAATCCCACTTTTATATACAATTACAATTCATCAATAAAACTTTTAAAAAGAATATTAAGTTTCATATTTTAGATAATAACTAGTATCTTTATCACTCAGCAGAAGAAGTTTAGGAATAAATAGCCCAATATTTTGAAGTAGTATAATAAGGGTCAGTTGGCTTAAAGTCTCCACCCTGTTCTAGCTGGTTTCTCTCAGTCCCTGTAGGTCATTTATGGAAATCTCTAGAGGAATGCATTTCTTGTGTCCACAAATCAGGCTGTCAGATATTGTCACTACATGGCATTTACTCCAGTCTTTTCTAGCTTTGGTTCCCAACTATCCATATCTATTAACCACAAAGCCACTTGAAGAATGTTGCTCTTGCCACTGCCCGTGATGTAAGCAGCAGTGTCCATGACAAAAGCCATGAAAGCTTCCATCTTTGGGATATCAAAATAATACTAGTTCCCAGCAAAGGACAATTTTCTTCATAATTCTGGGCCATAATATATCACTAGGCTCCTAAATCTATGGTCTCATACTTGTTTAAGCTTTTGGCTGACCCCCTTCAGGAAAAAATGACCTCTTGGAAAAGATATAAGAACTAATCTACACCAGCCCCTTCAAACTTCTTCTGGCCCTCACCAAAACTCCTTCTCCAGCTATCAAACAAGGGCAGCAACCACACACACACACACACACACACACACACACACACATACACACACACTCACACACCCAATATTAATAGAAGCAGAAATATAAGCTTAATGGGCGAGGGAAGAGAACAAAGAAGTAAGGGTATCTCAATCACAGAATATTTAGGTACTGGTTCTTTCTCTTCAAAATGCTTTGCTTCAAAATATTTTGAATGTAAAAATATAGAACCATGATTTCTAGAAAAGGATTTTATTCCTTCCCTAGTAAACATGGGGAAGGTGGGAGCTGAAATAGTAAAAAAAGAAACAGGTTAAGAAATGTTATCTTAGAAGACGCTCTCGGCCTGCAGCCACACACAAGGACGCCTGGGTGCTTTCCATGAGGATCAACCTGCAGAACTTCCCTGCTCTGATTGTACCTTGTGCCTTGTCCTCTCAAGACAGAAAGATAGACCTCCCATAGGTAGCCAGCAAAAGATGCTTGGAGAAGAAAAGGAGGAAAAGAGAATTGGAAAATCAAACTTCAAGCCCCAACTATTCCTAGCCACAAGGACAGTTCCTTAACATCCTCTAGATACAACCAACCCCGAAAGGTACTTCCTCTAGGGCCAACAGACACTCACCCACACACTTGTGCTGATTCGAGCTTACAAATCACTTTTCTCCAGGCAAAATAGAGTGGATTCACCCTTTCTAAATCCTATCTCCCACCCATCACCTATAGGAACAGATCAAGCCCTTAAAACCCCTGGACAATAGACATCCATTGACATCCCTCTCTTGATACCTCTCCCTCTTCGGGAGCTCTACTTTCTTTCTATTATTCTAATACATCCTGATGCTTTGCTCTCACCCTTGTGTCCGTGGACTTCATTCTTCAAATTTGCAAGACAAAGAACCTACCCACCCACCCTCTGCATCATACTCTTGCTTTGCCACTGGCTTCACCATTTATTCTCCCAGCAGATGTCATCTGCTGTATCCCTCAGACTTAATACATCCTATTTGTCTGCTGGATGGAGATTTGGCCGTGTTTATTCCACGCCTGCCACTTCTCTTATGCTGGAGACAGGCCTCTGCTCTCGGGGCCCAAACTCCAAGCACCTGAACCAGACAGGGTCCCCACCGGCTAGCCTCCTCAAGTATCCCTTCCTGGGATCCAGTAAATCCTGGTTTTGTGCTGAGGATCAGGAAAAGTCTTTCTAATTAGAATTTTAAAGTTTGGTGTTTAAAAGAATATGGCATTCTAGAGATGGATGGTGATAATGTTTACACAACACCAAACTGTACACTTTAAAGTGGTTCAAATTATATATATGTACACATATAAATTAAAAAGATAAGATGTAATTATCTATATAATGACACATGATTAAAATGGGTTAATTCCTTCAATTCAGGAAGTCTAAAATGAAAATTGTAGACATTACCTACTTTCAAATATTGTTTGTCTTTGTCCACTTACATAGTAAGGAAAGAAAGAGAAATAGAAAAAAATTAGAAGATAAAGAAATTAAAAAGTTGTACAATTCTTCAAAAATATTAATGAATTAGGTCAAATTTGCACAAAGTACTTTTGCAGTATACACTTGGATTTGTGTAGCCAGTTTCTATTTTTATCATTATGAATTTAAGTATTTCTTGCCCTGGTGGTCTGTTGCTTCTCAAAAGAGAGAAAAGTTGTAGAAACAAAATAAGGCTTTGTATATCATCCATGAGGGATAATTTGTTTTTTGAAAAAGTTTCAAGGAAGTTGGGAATCTTAAAACTATGTTTCATATAAAGTTTTCTTCCATCACTGAGATCCTACTTTTTGCAAATAAAATGTAATTCTTATTAATGTTCATGAATCTATGAGAAAACGAGAATTTCAGATCATTTAGAAAACTCAGAGTCTACATAATTCTCAGCTTATTCAAAGGCCTTGTTTCCAGTGGGCCAAATACAAATTCTTCATTTACCACAAACCCCAAAATGTGGGAAGAAGATAGCTGAGTCAACAGGAAATAAAGGAGACAACTCTCAAACTCTGTGTCGAGAATTAAAATGCTACTGTTCCCACACACTGACATAGACAAACCCTGGCTTTTAGGCCCTGCAGGCTGCCTAGCTGCTGCCCAGCTTGGGTAGAGCACAAAGACACCATGAAGCTCACTATTAAAGAAGTTTATTTTCAGTGAAGAAAGAGTATGAAATATTACTGAGGCACATCAAGTGCACCAACTTCTTTGAACAAAGAGCAGCACTGTTTGGTATACAATTTTGGTTTTTACAGAGATATGAATTCTAGTCAAATAAATAATAATCTCATTTATAAATAATAAATAAATAATCCAATAAATAATCTCATGTTAAAGCGATATCCAGGTCACTAGAAGTCCTCCGATGGCAGTTCATTTCTCATTCTCATGTCTGTGGGTAGGCTTATAATTATTCTTATAGTTTCAGACAACAAACTACAGAGGTTAAAGGTCAGGGAATTCTGCTTCTCCCAGGGCAAAGCAATTTGAGATCTGAACCTAGGTCTATTTTGCTCCAGGAGCTCTTCCTGGAGAATTCAGTTCCTGATCTTGGGAGTTAAATTCCATCACTGTTCAAACAGGCACTTTTCTGAATCAGATTCTTCCTTTGCTGAGATCCAGCTTGATTGCATTTCAGGCAGTTTTTCAAGATGGCAGACTGCCCACTTTCTCACCATGTCTCACCGGATGTATCTTGTATTCATCCTTTGTTTATTTCCTTAACTTAATTTTAAAATTATTGCAGCCTTTCAATAACCTAATATAAACCATAATACCTCATTAGCAAAGCGTTTGTCAGTGTCATCAGGAGGCGTAATGACTTCAGGAAAGGAAGAAGTAAAAAGCTAAAGAAAAATGGAATCCATGCTACATGTTATTATAGTAATGTTCTTAGTGTGAGGTGTGGGCAAAGAGAAAAATCCTACCAGGTAACTCACCAACAAGCATGTTAATAGAAAAACTCATTGGGCTTGGGTAGCCTGCCATACAGTTATACTTAAACCAATTAATAAGGAGAATGGCTTAGGAGCATTTTTCTTCAAGCCTAAGATATTTTAGATTATCAGTCAATGATACTGTGAGGTTCTTGGTTCTGCAAAACTCTAAACCCTGAAAATCTTGGGTTAGAAACTACATATATGAGATTTGTTAGACTCTTAATTTTCATCTCTTCATTTCACATTTATTTAGCTCCTACAAAATGCAATGTGGATTTATATGGCTTTGGACATTCCCAAGAGTGGTTGGTTATTAAAAATTATTTTGAAAGGAATCTATGATCATCTATTCTACTCCTGTGATCCTTTCAAATATTGGCAAAAATCACCCCTGTTTCTGCTGGGGTATGGATACTTTCATCCCAAGGGTAGAGCAGAATTCTGCCAAAATATTCTAGCTTCCATCCTACAGATAATTAAAACATAAATGAAATACAGTTCTGTACCAGTCATATATTCTTTCTACTGCTCCTGGCAGTGGGTACATGTTGCTCTCCAAGAGTCAATTACATGTGTAATATGCCCATGGGTGTGGGGGTCTCTGGCCTAAGAAGGGATGGAGTACTAACAGCCTCCTCT